CAACATCGTTAGTTGATGGTTTGGAAAAGATAAATGCAAACAAATGAATAGACAGAAGAAGGTAATTTTCACGAGCTTAATTTTAACAAATCAGTGAAATGAAAACATACAACCGTCAATATGGCGAGTACATCGTTTCCTCAGTCTCACGCACGTGGCCTGGTCAGTGCAGCACTGCAGCTTAGAATTTAGATGCCTCACCAGCGGACACTGTGCATTAAATTACTATTTTGTCCTTTTCTGGAAAACAGGGTTTTTTTAATTTTTGGATAAATATTTTAAAATATAAGATTTCTTCTTCTAATGGTGAGTAGCCAGGTTTCAGACGGCTAGCCTCATCCCCCACTCTAATTTTATTCCCAGGAGTGGTCCAGAAAATTGACAATAATAATAATAATAATAATAATAATAATAAATGAATTGATTAAAATAAATTATACCCAGGGGAGCCAGAGCCTATAATCTTCCAGAAGTTTCTTGTTTGCTTTTTTTTCCTCTATAAATATTGTTTTTTAAATTTTAAAAACGAATGGTGAGAAAATTTCGATGCCAAGGATTGTTATTAGCGAATTGCATGCTGATGATTTTATATTTTTTTTTCTTTTTTTTTAAATAAGCATAAATTTTAAAGGATTGGTTACATGAATATCATATAATAAATATATTTTTTAAAATATAGTAAAAAACTTAAAATTGGACAAAATTTACCTAATTCAAATCTAAGTCAATTCAATTATAACGTAAAACATGCCAAGAAAAGTCGAAATTTTAATATATTACAATAAAGATTAAAATTAGTTGTTATGAGATTTCTCGAATTTTAAAATTAGAAAACTAAATACAATAACAAATTTACGATTTTTTGTTTAATCGGTAACAAATCAAAAAAGAAAAAGAAAAAAAGAAATCCAATATTTATTTTATTCAACAAGGGATTTTTTTTTATTTTTAGAACAGGAATATTGTAAATTATTGTAAAAATTTACCAATGAAATTATATTTAAAATTGGACAATATTTGAGAATAAATAGGAATAATAATAATAATAATAATAATTAACATTTATGAAAATATATTAATTAAGATGGGTTAATTTATTAATATTTATATTTCTCAAAATAATAATAATAATAATTAACATTTATGAAATAGTAAATGAAATTAATTTAACTATCTTTAAAAATCAAGCATTTTAATAAATCTAAAAATTAAACAGACTCTTATATAGCTTATATACTTGTTTAAATCATTAATTTGTCGTTTTTTTATATAAATTATTTAATAAAACGATATATCTTTTATTTCATTTACCTTATCCACGATGTCTATGGGGAAAAAGTTGTTTGAATCAAACTATAGTAAAGTGAGGTGCTTAAATTTTTTAAAATGATTTATGAAAATTTGATAAAATAATTTATTTATGTAAATTTTAGATACTAAAGTAAAATATTAACAAACTAATAGACAATTTTTTTTTTAAGATATAAACAGATAGACTAAAACATCTAAAAGTTTTAAGAATGAAATATGTACGAATTTTTTATGAAGGATTGATGAAAAAGCCCATTTGATAATGACATTGTAAACTCTAATCTACTCCCAAAATCAGTTTTAAACCACATTCAATAGTTTTGAAAACTTAAAAAATAAATACATAAGTAAATAAATAGCCCATACGTATTAAATGTTTTTTTTTTTTTGGGAAAAATGAAAAACTAAGCAAAGAAAACATATACAATGTAATTTTTATAAATTTCATATAAAAAATAAATAAAATAAAAACTAAATCCCTATCAAACAAGCTTTATCCATCAAAATTATATTTAAATTGGAACTTAGGTTCGCTTTAGGATTGTTGGAGACGGTTAAAACAATTATGAAGTAAATTATTTTTTGGTAAATTTCAATTTTAAACTTGGAAAAGTATATTACCATATTGGTAACTTTTGTATACTAAATTGTGCTTATTTAACTATAATGACCAAAGTAGATATTTATCTTAATTCTTTTTATATTGATACTTAATATCTAAATTTTCAAATAGTTACTTAAAATTTTGTATGATTTAAATTACAATCTAAGGATTTAGTTTTTTTTTCTATTTTAAAATTTTCAATAATGTGTTACTCCGCGTTGTTATAGAGTTTTTGTAAATATTTTTTAAATCTTGGTCCAATTTTAAAAAGGTAAAAATATATAAGTGTTTCCTCATCTAATATTATTAATTATTAATTTATTTACAAATTTTGAGGGAAGACAAAAGACGTATTAAAAAAAATAAAAAATAGTCGCGCTGTGTGATCCCATCTGATAAAACTCCGAAAAACAGACGTCATTACTCTTATCTTCGCTCCCTCCTCCGTCCCTATATATAAGCGTTCCCTGCTTCGGTCTTCCCACTACTTTTTCTCTCTCGCGGGCTCCTGCAATTCAGCCACGTTCCTTGGAATTTGAGAATTTGAGAAGACCCACACAAATCGCTTCAATGCAGAGCTTCCTACGGAGGAGATTGTTGTCGCCATCCAAATCCCTTTTCCCCCTTCGCCGGTTCTCTCAGGCTGTTCAGAAGGAGCCTTCTCCCCACAATGACGCCGCCGTTCCTTCTATTCCGCCCTTCCATTACTCTCCTCCG